TCGACCCTTTCGATGTTCTCGCCATGGCGATCTACGATGACTTCCGCGCACTCTTCGGAGCTTAGGAACTTGGTCTTCTTTACGCTCAGCCGGAGTCCATTCGCAGCGAGCACATCCTGCCACCGCTGCACCTTGTCCTGAAGTTCCTCCCTGCTGTCCGCTATCAGGGCGATGTCGTCAGCATAGAGGATGGTTTTCAGTGGTCCCTCCATGAAGTCAGGAGAAGAGGAACGGGTTGAGGGCTGATCCTTGGTGTACCCCAACCGTAATGTTTACCTCCTCTGTCAAGCCGTGAGGGGTGCGTACAGCTGCTCTAGCCCCATCGTACATGTCCTTCACTATGGAGATGAGGTGTTCCGGAACGTTACGTTCTCAGAGCGCTTTCCAGAGTACAGGCCGAGCAGGCGGTCGAATGCCTTCTCAAGGTCCAGGAAGGCTAGGTAGCAATGTCGCTGCTTCTCTCGGTACTTCTCCATCAGCTGTCTGGCGATAAAGATGGCGTCAATGGTAGATCTTTCAGGCATGAAGCCGAACTTTTCTGCGAGATAGGGACAAGCTCCCTCAGCCTAGTGTTTACCAGGCGCTCGCACAGCTTCATGGTATGGGGAGTCAACTTGATGCCGCGGTAGTTGGAGCACCTTCGCGTCCCCTTTCTGTTTGAAGATGGGGACGATTGTGCTGCTCCTCCACGCATCTAGCATCGTTCCTTCAGCCGTTACGTTGTTTAGGAAGTCTGTTAGCGCCAACTCACTCCAGGCTCTCTCAGGGCCTTCCATGCCTCTATCGGTACCCCGTCTGGGCCCACTGCTTTCCCAACTTTCGTTCCCTAGCTCCCGGCGGACTTCATCCTTCGTTCAGAGCGTTATGGGACCTGCCGTCGCCTCTATCTGCGGGCTGTTCCTGCGAAGGGGAACTTCGTTCAGAAGTCCCTCTAAGTGTGTTTCCCACCTCTTCTTGACTTCGTCTGGTTTCCTGAGAATGGCCCCGTTGCTGCTCTTCACAGTCTTGACTACCCTGATGTCCTGGGCAGCGCGATGCCGAGCTTTAGCCAGGCGGAAGACAAGAACTTGTCCCCTTCTCGGCCTTCCAGCCTTTCGTACAGTGCATCCATTTCCGTATTCTTGGCCTTAGCAACGGCTGCCTTGGCGAGTCGCTTGCAGTTCTTGTAAGCAGCGTAGTTATCTGGGCTCCGGTCTTTTGCCTGCGTTTATATGCTTCCTTCTTCTGCTTGACGATCCCGTGGACTTCCTCGTTCCAAAACCAGGCTGCCTTGTCTCTTCTGATACCACCTCGCGTCTCTCCCAGGACTTCCTTGGGACACTGTAGGATGACCTCTGCTGCGTAGGTCCAGGTGTCCAAGACTGGCCCGTGTGGGTCTGGGAGCCCAGCCTCCAGTATTCTTCGGCCGAGGTTATCCTTTTCTACCTTGCGCATTTTCCACCACCGAATTCTTCGCTCTGCTTTCACCCTCGTCTTCTTGGGGAGGTCTATGACGATGTCTGCCAGGAGAGGCCTGTGCTGAGGGCCCAGCTCTTCCCCAGGCAGTACCTTGATATCCTTGACGGTTTTGAGAGACGATCTTCTGACCAGAACATGGTCGATTTCCGTTTGTCTCCCTCCACAGCTGTAGGTTATCTTCTGAGTCCTCCTTTTCGCTAAGAAGGTGCTACAGATTGTTAGGTCGTAAGCTGTGGCTAGGTCAAGGATCCGTTCTCCCTCAGCGTTCTTTGCCCTATTCTTTGACCTCCGTGCACCCTTTCTAGACCCTTCTGTCAGTTCCCACAGTGGCCATACAGATCCCCAGCTATGGTGAGGTAGTCATCATCCGGAACCGATTTTATGGCCTCGTCCAGGGTCAGGTAGAATTCATCCTTAACGCCATAGAGCAACCGGGTTGTGGTGCGTACACGGTCAGTACGGTGCAGTACCCTTCCTTCGTGTTCATTCTCACTCCCATGATCCGATCACTGATCCTGTTCACAGAAGAGACGCAGTCCTTCAGGGATTCTGCAACCGCTATGGCCACGCCATTCCGTTTGGTGTCTGCTCCATTGTAGAAGAGTTTGACGCCTTCTTTAATCTCGCGGGCCTTCGCACCCTTCCATCTCGTTTCCTGAAGGCAAGGACTTGGATATTTCTTCGTCTCATGAGGTCGGCAACCTCACGAGACTTCCCGGTAAGCGACCCGGCCTTTAGGATCCCAATTCGTACTAGCTTCTTTGGCCGAGGTCGTTCATGCCTCGGTAGCCCTCGCATACTGACCACGGAACTCGGGCGAGGGTTTTGCGCGTCATTTCCGGGTGATGTCCTAGCATTAACAACGATTCTATTGCGACTTGTTATGATTGTTGTGACGGGATCCTCCAACAGCCGGCCTGTCAATCTGGGCCTAACGCCGGTATCGTCCCCATTTTTGCAATTTTTGCAAGGCAGGTTTGTGCCTCGGCAGGGATTGAACTAGTGGCTCAGGGTGTGAACGTGAGTCTACACTCTTAACCACTCGGCTATCCCTGCCTACCCTTGGGAAGTAAGTAGGTAAAGTGTTCAGAAGCAAGCTGCAATCAATATCCTCGCGAAATAAGCTCTGAAGAGCGTTCCTGGACTTAGTTTCAGCCATAACAGATGAGTAGACGAAGATTCATTTTGAGTGGAGGGGGAAGGAAAGAGAAAAGCAGAAGCAGTCACCCTTGATCTGTTCTTTACTCTGTCCCAGTTTCATCACAACTGGCTGCATAATCTTATGAATACTACACTGCCACAGGTTGAATAGTCGTTAATCAAGATTATAGTCAACAAAATAAGTGTCCCCTTTACGTTCAACTGAGAACCCAGTAGAATTTGGTTTCAACGGATTATGCTGATAGCAACCATCCCCCTACGATATATAATCCGCTAAAGCTGGGTTCATGACTTTGCGGCAGCGTACGCCAGCGGCAGTGGCAAAGGAACTATGGATGTCGACTAGACTAGACATGCCAGCGTCACCAGCGTGCGCTAGTGTAACGCTAGCGTATGCTAACGTAGCGAGGACAGGAAAAGTGTAGTGAATCTAGCGTCTCCAGCATTTCACCAGCGTTTTACTGGCATTTTCAGCGGCGGGGAGTGGAGACTATCAGTCATAAAAGCGGCGGGCCAACGGACAGAATAAGCTGGTTTATCACCTCGAAAACGTGAAACAGTTCCTGGAGCAATTACGGCAGTGCAACTTCTACGCTAAACCACGAATGGAATACGAAAGTTTTGACGTTGTTGCACTCTACACAAATATGACATACAAAGAGCTGTAGAGGGAGCTAGCTCTGAAGCCATGTCGCAGGCCACACGAAATTTCTACAGCTCCCCAAAAAGAACCTAATCGTAAGCGATAGCTTCATCCTTCGTAATTTGATCTGGCCCTTGGAGCAGACTGAGCTAAAGCCTTTTTGTTGGGGGGGGGACATAAGTAGCTCAAGCTGTTGAAGTTCAAATGTTCATACTGGAAAACTCAAGCTCATTTATCGTTTTTCTGTCGTTTTCCTCTGAAAAAACGCCACCGATCTCGCTAACTTCTTGTAAAGCCACGAAACCAACCATCTCTTTTGTGGAAATATTTGAAAAACCAATGCGCCAATCGAACCTTATTGAAGAATTCGTCGGCGCTGGTGAACACCAAGCTCTTTTGATTCGTAGGAATACCTGGAACGTGTTACTATTTCTTCTCTTCGCCATTAGATTTTACCTTCAAATCCTATTATTCCGATAAACAGATCTAAACTGGTACTTCGTCAACTCGAGAGCTACTTTACTGAAAAAACTAACACGAGCAAGGCTGAAAATTTGAAATGCCTACCTCTGCAGACGACCACCACATTTTCATTCGTATGCAATCACTATCAATGGAAAATAGTGTTCATAGACTGGAGCGGAGCCTGGGTGGTTCTCCATCAATTGATGCCATCCTAAGCTTGCATGTGCGTATGTAAGACCGCTACCCCGTCGATTCAGCGGAGGCCGTATTTCCGGGACAGACATCCATTGAGACAGGTGAAATCCATTGACTTACTCTTCGCGGCACGGGAACAACAAAGAAAGGTGCCAGCCAACGAACCAACAAACGGAATAAATCCAAAGTCTATCCTCAATAGTTATTCTGTTCCAGATTTCTGATTTTGATGGTGTGTAACATTGCAATCAGTTGGGGACGGCTTCAGCAAGACGGGATGACTCCGCCTCTTCTGTCTTGCGTTGTGAGTGATCAGGTAGAGACCGATTTGGGAAGAACACAACTAGCAGTGGAAACGCCGCAGGTGGGGACCGCTGATTGCGATCCGACTGATTGCGGTGATATCAACTATACCTACCCGTTATCATGGCTTCAAGCCGTCTCCTGTCAACCTGGATTTTCTGCTCGTATCTGCCATCTCGCAGCAGGACTAAATCGTCCGGTACCATTCACTGAAAACGGTTCTGATACTGCTCAATCATTTGCTTTCAATCTTCAGAGAAAAGAATGAAAAATTTCAGTGAGAATGGAAAGTCATCCTTCAAACATGTGGAGACATAGAGGAATGGCAGGAGAGCGAAGGGGTTACGGCTGTGACCTTTTGTATCTTTTGAAAATCAATACCTTTGGCGTACGTACGTATACCTGTGAGCTTTGGCTAACCTAAACCACGACAGAAGTTCGAGAAATTAGAATGAAACCCAGGTGGTCGTCAGCGCAGGATTATGGAGACGGAAGTGATGCAATGAAAATGCGCTGCTGAAAGTTATCCTGTGCCGGACCGTAGTTGCGCATAAAGCCTAGAAAGAGCAGAAAAGGCAAGCTAAAAAGGATGTGGCCGAGGAGGGCTACGTTCATCCTGCACAAGAAAAAAGGGTGGATAAAGTCAAGCGCTGAAGGTCTGATCACAGAGGTTGGACTGTTGTCAAGCCTGCCCGCGAATTGACCTCCCTGTTCCAACTCTGCTCGAGTTACGTCCGAAAAGCTGAGGATGGTCAAACGGGTACCTCATTTTCTTCTAAAGGCACGAATGCAGAACAGATTTGATGTCTGCATGCTTTCCAGATGGGAAGTCATCCAGGACTGTGAGATAGCACCATGGCCCTAGAAGCAATATGAGTGGTCTTACTCGGACCTGAAACTCACAATTTGCTCAATTTTGTACGAATGCAGATCAGAAGCAGCGCGCGTTCTGTCATAAGGAGTTACGTGGGTAAGCGGATAATCATTACCAGCAGGCGCTAATCCTTCTGAGATAAGCCTCTTTCTAAGCACGACCTCGCCGGGCGGGCGCGGTTCCGCCGCGCTACCGTCTTCCATTTCATTACCTACTTAGTATCCAGCTTTTCGCTTATCTGAACAGATGGTCAACATTCTTTGACCAATATCATCATATCTCTATTTTCAACGCTATTACAGTGTATGGAATGGTGGTAAGGAGCGTTGATCAAGTGGACAGATGAGAGAAAAGCCGGGTATTAGTCGAGTATTTGATCAAACGGAAGAACGTAGGCGCGATGGAGCCACACCACGCAAGGCCGGGTCGCTTTGCAAAGGGGCCTGGAGTGTCTGGAGTGCTCTGAAACCGCTTCAGGAATTTCTAAGACCAGCTTCACCACCTGGACGCACGCTCCACCCACAACGGACACAACGGTATGCCTCACACTTGTAAACCGGTGACCTCTCGATGACCGCAACCTACTTTCTCTCACTGTCTGGAGAATTCTGGTACGTTTCAGGGATTTTTGAAATTGGCTCCGCCCACCTCGCCGCATGCTACGCCCACGACCTGTATGCCTCACATTTGTGGACCGATGACCCCTCGCCGATCTTAAATACTTTTCTCCGGTTTCTGGAGTGCTCTGGAATCGTTTTACGAATTTTTTGAATTTGGCTCCACCCTCCTCAGGGCACGCTTCACCCTTAACATATGCCTCGCCCTTCTCAACTGATGACCCTTCTGTGACCTAATCACTTTTTCCCGGTGTCTGTAGTGTTCTGGAACGTTTAAGGAATGTCACTAGGAACCCTAAACAACAGGAGGGAGGAGCGCTGCTGGCACTCTTCGCGGAACTTTGCGGCTCTTGATCTACGCATTCGATACCCCCGCGGGAGCGCGACGGGGACTTACTCAGTATTACTAGTGAATCGATAATTATGCTGAATGCGCGGGGATCCGCAGAGACCCGCATCTTCTGGCGGCGAGTGGGACTATCGCGCTTTACCGGATGACCAACCTCTGCGTTTCCAATTGGTCCTTAAGGTTTATGTCCTAATTACAGCGGGGGGCCTGTCCCTTGTATGTTTCCCTCAAGCACTATGACCCGATACCTCGAAGTTTTGAAAACATATAAAACCTAGCGTCTTGTATTCTTGAAACTCAGAGTGCCCGGTAAAACTTCACCCGTCGAAAGGTTGGTGGCTTTACGACTTAGTTCTGATCTCCTAGCCCGTAGTTTCTTACTGTGGTTAGAAATGGTGATCGAGTGATTGTTTCGATGTTAAGTTTCGACTTGCAGGCTCCAAAGAAGGCGGTGTTCGCAGAAACTTTAGTTCAATAAAACTATCTGTACAAATCTCGGCAGGCTGAGGAATCTTCTGAACTTTTCAACCTGGCTCCACCCACCATGGGGCACGCTCCGCTCACAACGTATGTCTCGCGCTTCTTAATCGATCCCCTGCGCTGCATTCTTAAACCACTTTTTCCCGGTGTCTGGAGTGCTCTGGAACGGTTTTGCGAATTTTTTTCCAAATTTGGCCGCGCCCACCTCTGCGCACGCTCCGCCCGCAAAGGGAGTGCCTCGCACATTCCGACATGTAATCACTCGGAGACCATAATCCATTTTTGCGCTATGCAGTGCTTTATAGCCAAACTACGATTTTTTAACTGGTACCTCGTCTTCAATGCACGCCCCGCCCACTGTGGGCGGGCCTCAGCACGCCGCAAACATAATGGACTCTTGCCAGATGTCAGCTTCGTCATGGACTTTTCTGCGATCTCTGACCTTTTTGGGGAACCGAGTTGCCGACTCGCAACCGACCCGTCCATCTCGAGTACACCATGCCCATTTCGGGTCTGTCTCCTCCGCTTGCTCTGCCAACCCAATACCAACCTTATTCCACTTTTTTCCGTTTCCGAGCTGCGTTGTAGCCTAATTATGGTTTTTTCAGTGGCACGCCGCCCATCTCAACTACGCCCCTCCCATTTCGGGTGCACCCTCCATTTGGTCTGTCAGCCCTTTGTTAACTTTATTGCACTGTTCCCCCATCACAGAACTGCTCTGGAACTAAGTTGTGATTTTTTTTCAGTGACATCGCTAACCTTCGGCGCACGCCCCACTGTTGGCAGGGCTTACCATAGATCACGGATGCTATTTACATATTGTTCCACGCCCTATGGATCCCCGTCATGACCCGACATCTCCAAGTCCTTACTCAGGTGCAACGAATTTCGTGACAAACAGACAGACAGACACAGACACAGGGATGCAGCCGGTTGTATATAATAGGATGTCGACAAATCCCTGCACTGTGGCTTTCAAGCGGCTCAGCACAGAGAACAAAACCGCCACTGTCGGTGTATATTGCCTGTCCCTCGACAATCAGATCAAATGGGAGGTACCGCACAACTACAAGAAGGCCACCATTGCTCACCGCAGTGCCAGTCTCCGAATCACTGTATTAATGCGCACTGCTCGGACGCAAAAAATTGTATGAGCCGGGTGCAGTCGCCTTGTTCTACAGCCGTGTAATTTCACCCTGTCCAATGGCAAATGCTACGGCTTTTTGTCATTCGTCGAAATTTGCATGAAAAGCAATTTAATCGCAATTGTTGAAAAACCGGAGATGCCAGTGCTCCGAACGCTGCGAGGCACTGGGAACGGGCCACTGATGAAAGAGGGATCTGCTTAACCCGAAGCCGAATGATTCATTTTTATCTGTTTTCCTCTTCGTTTTATTTGAATAAAACCTTCCACATTTTCGAATGGATGACCTCATAGAAATGACCAGTTGCCAGAAATACACTGCGAAGCATAATCATAGTTCCACCAATCTCGCAAAATCTCGTCTTACACGACGTTTTCAAAAATGCCCTCATACTGAAAATGCGGTAATTACCAATACCAATTCGCATGCCAACACCAAACTTTAGCTTGAAAAAACAATTTTTTTTCGCCAATTTTTTTCAAAAATGGACGTTCTGACAACGGAGCAAGAATATAGTTCCACCCCATATTTTCCCCGCTGCATCTCATTTTTTTCAGTGGAACTTCTCATCATTATGACTTTTTGCCTCTTCTAGGCTATGGCAAGTGGAACTTAATTAATGGACCTCGAAAAGGGACAGGTTATCGCAAAGAAGACTCGAAAACTGTCGAACCGTCGAATGGCGCGGGTTTCGGGCTGCACTCATCATGTTGTCAACAATTTTTTCAATGGAGAATAAGCGCCGTATCTTGAGGAAAGCATCCAACTCTGCAGTGTCCTGTCGGGAAATTAAGTCATTTCGGAGATTAGTGTCTCGGAAGATACTGTTAGGCGCTCTTGAAAATTTCCCGAGTTCACTCATAGGAGGGATATGAGTTAAGTACTGTTTCTAACGAAAAACCATCGGGAAAACCTAACTGGCTTTGCTCGAAGATGTTGCCGAACCCAATGAAGTGAGGTTGGCTTTTGGCTGCGGTGCCCTATTGCTTGTCTATAGTGTTTTCTCAGTTTTTTTTTCTCTCGGTCGTGTTTTCTGATGAGAAAAAATTCTGCGACGGCTTCGACGAGAACCGATTCCGCTGGCACGAGAGGAGACAAGTTTCATTTTTCCGGGCGGAACTTCAGTGGATGTGGTCTCATGCTCTGGGCTGCCATCGTATGAATGGAACGTCTGAAACTGCGCTCCAAATGATAATTATGAAAAAAGAAATGATTTCCTCCGTCACCTTAAAGTCATGCGACGACGTCTCCTTGCTTTCTGGCGTAGGAATCAGCAAGAGAGACCTGTTTTCGTGCAGGATTATGCGTCGGTCCATAACAGTCGAAGCACTCGAGCGCGATCCAGTTCACCAAATCGCTCTTTTGCCCTAGCCAGCGAGTAGCCCCGACTAAAACCCAATCGAGGGTATGAGGGGCTTCATGGTGCGTATGATCCATGAGAGTAATGCACAATTCCACAAGGTCCGTGAGCTTAGGTAGTTAATAGTCGGCCGACAGCCTACTAAAATCTCTAATCGAACACGGGCAACCGTATTTTCCAACTTTATTGGAGAAATAGAGTCCCAGTAGATTATTAGATCAAAATTCACTCATTTTATTGTGCACTTGTTGTTGGAAGATTCGATTTGTTTGGTGGAACTATGTATATTTTTGCTTCGTTGTCAGAACGACCATTTCTGAAAAAATTGACGAAAAAAAAATTGTTTTTTAAGCTAGAGTTTGTTGTTGGCTTGCGAATTGG